TAAAAAAATTCTTCCTGGTAAAAATATTTCTGTACTGACATTGACAGATTCTCATTCCTTGGAAGGTTGAGGAAAACCTCACCAAGCCATTGGAAGTTTGGGAAATCAGTTTTCAGTGGTTTTTGAAAGAATCACAAGATTGTAATGCTGAAGCACGTCAATCAGAGAGGCCGCTTCTCCCAGTTGCTCTGGCTTAAATAGTCTTCCTACAGACTTGAGCTTGTTATACAATCACCTCGGTGGTGTCAAAGAGGAAAATGTAGTTCCTTGTTGTTAGTCTGGCCCCAACCATCTGTCTAAAACTTGGAACTCTGTAGATTTATTTTTCATGGATATTTTATTCTGTCCTAATTTGTTGGGATTTTACTATGGACCAAGCAATGTGCAGATAATAGATGCCACTGAAAAGCAGCTCAGCTGATCTATGTCAAGATTCAGACATTTTAGAGACACTGTGGGAGCCAGTTTGCAATCTAGCTGCTCTGTTTTTCTTTCCAACTGCTTTTGTTGCACGTTTTGTGGTGAGATATAGGGCAGGGTGGGAAGAAAGCTAACTAGAGTTATGCCCATCTGAGATTTGTCTGGAAGCCTTGAGAAAAAGAACTGCAGCTTGCACATTACACTTGTCTTTCCCTTTTTCTGATTTTTCTTTCGTGTCCCCTGGCCTCAAGTGTGTTTACTTCCCTGATGAGCCCTGCTTTTGTGTTCCTGTGACTGTGGTCCCCTCCTCTCCTTTCCTCCTGCCATGTCTGGGGATCTAGTTAGCTGATTCTCAGTCAGCGTCAGCAAGAGTTAGCGACACTGGTTTTCTAAACATCATTTCACCAACATTGGCAGAAATTCAAATTGGTGTTGGTTAAATTGCTTTAATTTAATTTTCTGGTAATCCCATTTGTGTGCATTTTTATCCAAAACCATTTAAATTGCAGCCTTACCTTTTTCACATTGTGTTCCCGACTATTGTTTTTGAAATGATTTCTGTACTTTTGAATTATTGGATGTATCTACCTATTTGAACATTATCCAAATACCCCCAGAGAATCAGAAAGGCTAGAAAGACCTTTCTAATGTCAGGTAAACTATTCCCCTGACTGTTGACAGTTTTTCTCCACAAATAACAGGAGTAGATAATGATCCCGTGCAAGCTGGTTGATCTAAAGGGAAAGGACACTCTGCTTCACTGACTTCGCAACCTGCAGATTCAGTGTCTGCTGCAGCTGAGTTTGTAGGTGGTAGTGTGGTTTGTTGCTTCATTTGAACTCACCCCAACTAGGTGTTGTAAAGAGTCGAGGGGGAGCGAGACATAGTACCTACCCTCCAGGAGTCCACGGTGGCAGGAGAAGAGATCTTTTTATCTACCCCTTATTCATATAGTTACAAGATATATGAATATATATATATTAACATTGCCTGTGTTTCTCAGATGTTCCAAAAAGAAAAAAATAAAACGTTTGCAGCTATGAATAATGTTCAGATACCTAGCTTCCTTACCTCCAAGGGTGCATATGCTTGGGTAACTTTTTTCCCTTCACCACTGGTTCATCGGACTTCAAGTTTCAGCTTTTGTGAAAAAATGGTACCGTGGGAAGCCCACACATGAAAGGAAATGTTATGGGTGATGAGATTGTATAAATACTTGGAATGGCTAATACAGAAAGGCGAGTTTAAAAAATAAAGAAAAGAAAAGAGAAAGCTGAAAGCATCCAACAGTGCTCTTATCTGACATTCTTCAGTGGGAACCAAGGATGAGGACACAGTGGACCCTTCCTTTCCTCTGAAGGTCGGGAGCCTTGGTCCTGAGTGATGAGCAGAGGGCAGAGCAGGGTTCTGATGGTGCCATGTCAGCTAGCACCCTTTGCTTGGCCAGCAAAGGACAGGAGGGGCTTGTGCAATGTGAGAGGGGCTTGTGCAATGTGAGAAAGGCTCTGCCGAAGCCAGGCCACTCCCTTGGGCCACCATTGCAGCTGCATATCTTGGAACTAGATTTTCCAGTTACACAACTGATGAAAGAGACAATGCATTCTACTGTCTCATTCACCCATGAGACCTCAGAGCTCTCCCCTCACACCATGCATTTGGTGCCTTCTTTAGTTGTTTTTAAGTTTATGAAGAACAGCTACAGCCAGGCGCAATGGCTCACGCCTGTAGTCTCAGTGACTGAGGAGGGATAAGGTGGGAGGATAACTTGAGGCCAGGAGTTTGAGGCTGCAGGGAGCCATGATTGTGCCATTGCACTCCAGCCTAGGCGACAGAACAAGACCCCATTTTTCTAGAATCCTAGAATAAGGGACCTTACTCATAATTTAATCCAACCTCTTTATTCACTAATTCATTTGTTTAGAAATAATTTCAAGCTTACAGAAAAGTTGTAAGTATATTACAGAGAACTCCTATATATACTCTTTACCAGTTAGCATTTTGTTCGTTTACTTTGTTATTCCTTTCTTTCCCCTAACACACGTGTAGGTATATACACTGATGACAGCAGATTATGGTGTCACCGTTAGATACATTCACAGGTGACCAGAATAGCATGGAGACCTTCATAGTAAAGGGGCCCATGCTTTATGGATGAAAAGAAGTTCAGCTGAAAAGGGAAAATATATTCTAGGTAGAGACAGTGTAGAACAAGGCACAAAATTACCTATGGACCCAGAAACCCAAGGTGGCAAATAAGCTTTACATATATTATTTTCTTTAATTCCCATTAATAACTCTATCAATGTTGGCACCAGAATGTAAGCCCTACTAGTTCAGGGGTTTTCATCCCTTTCATTCATTGCTATATTCCTGGCTCCTACCAAGTGCCAGGTAGCACTTTAGTAGGCATTCAATAAAGGTTTATTGAATGAATAAGGTAGGTACTCTTTGCTTCCATTTTGCTAATGAAAAAATGCACAAAGAAATGATACAAGGTTACATAGCCTTGTGAGTAGTAAAGCCAAGATTTTAAGAAAACATGGGTAAATATGTTTTGTCCTGATAGGGATGAAAAAGGTCTTTTAAAGCATAATATGTAAGCTAGATATAAAAGAAAGAATTGATAGATCTGATTACAAAATTATTTTTAAAATTAATTTGCCAAAAAATCATAAACCAAGTTGAAAGAAAATATTGGACTATGTAAAGATATTTAGCATGATTAGAAAATAGTGCTGATATCCTTAATATATAAAGAGCACTTATGAATCAACAGAATAAGTAAATGCTCTAATAGAAAAATGGATAAATACCATGAAGAAGCAGTTCAAAAAAAAATATAAGTAACCAAATAAGATAAGCAATAAAATATATAAATATATGTATAAAATATATAGTCACTTCACATGAAATAAAAATGTAAATATAAATAGTGCTATGTTATTTTAGGTAGATACTGACAAAATACAAATGTTGGTCAAGGAGGAAGCAGGTACTCTCATACACTGGGTGTAAGAATATAGATTGGTACACACAGTCTTGCTAGAAAGCAATCTAACAGGATATTCCAAAATGTAAAATGAGTCTACTCTTTGATTCAGGATTTTAGCTATTCTAAGGGGATAATCAAACAAATGTTTTTACAAGTAATTCTCACAGTGTTCTTTCTAATATAATGAAAATTTGGGAAGAATTTAAATGTCTATCAATAAGGGCTTACATTATGCTATAACTATAAAATGGATTTCTGTGCAGCCATTACATGAGATAATATATAGTGGGGGTTGGTGAACTCTGGCTTACAGGCCAAATTCAGCCTACTGCCTGGTTTTGTTAATAAAGTTTTACTGGAACACAGCCATACCCATTTATGTATGTATTTTGTACATATGAAGTAGTTTATGTAATGCTGGCTGCCATATGGTTGCTTTCATACTACAATGGCAGAATTGAATAGTTGCAGCAGAGACCAAACAACCCAGAGGCCTGAAATATTTATCTTTCCCTTTACAAAGTTTGCTGACTCCTGATATATAGCTGTATGCATTGACATGGAAGACTCTTTGTAACATATTTATTATTTTTTAATTTTTTAAAATCCATATCCAATTTGTCTGGATAATGTAACATATTATTGATATTAAAATCGCATGTATAGTGTGGTCCCTGTTGTGTGTAATCATGTGGTGATGGGGGAGGCAAAAAGAGCACGTTAAAGAAGGTATTTTTAACAGAGATATCTTGAATTATGTTCACCAGAATATTCTGGGTTTCCTGTGAAGCTGTATGATTTTTCCTTAACATCTTTATATTTTTTTGATAATTCCTAAGTTTTTAAAAAGCAATAAAGTTGTTACATTTTTAAATTGGAAAGTAAACTTGAGAAATAATTGCATAAATAAAGTTAATAAATGGCTAATATCTTTATTATATAGAGTTCATATAATTGTTTTTCAAGCAAAGAATTTGAACTGATAACTCGCAAAAGAGGAAATAGAGCTACTAAGCAGACAAAAGGGAATTGTCAAAGCCTTGCAAATAATCCAAATTGAAAGTTTTTTGCCTTTTAAATTAGCAGATTTTAAACTTATTCCATACTGGTTGAGGGTTCAATGAAACATTTCTTTCATCAGTTGCTGGTGGCTTTATAAATTGTTGTAATTTTGGAAAATAATTTGGCAATGCCTTAATACCTTTCAATACACACCTTGAATTTATAGACCTCTAATGTACACCTTGAAATAGTAATCTCACATTTAGGAATATATACTTCCAAAATAATAATCTTTAATTTATGAAAGACTATATACACCAAGCTGTTTAAACAGTGTAAAATGTCTTTCATTTAAAGCTAACTGGAAAAATAGACCCAGAAATCCTAAATATCAAAAATTGTATAACTGTATCAAAACATCACAGGTACCCTATAAAGATATGCAATTATTATGTACACATAATTAAAAATAAAAAAAATTTTAAAGAGTAAAGCTAGATGGAATTGAACATAAAACCCTATAAGGGCTATGTTTACCACAGTGGCAAAAATCTCTGTAAGACAATACCAAGTGCTGATGGGGATGCAGAGCAACTGACATTCTCATGCTTTGCTGGTAGGAATGCAAAGCAGCCACTCTGAAAAACAGTTTTTCCATTTCTTACAAAATTAAACATATACTTACCACATATTACACAATAATTTCACCCCTCTGTACTTACCCTTGAGAAATGAAAACTTCTGTTCACAGATAAACATGTACATGAATATTTATGCACTTCTACTCAGAGTTGTCAAAAACTGGAAATAGCCCAAAAGCTCATCAGTGGTGAAAAGACAAACTGTGGTACATCCATCCAATAGAATACTACTCAGTCATAAAAAGGAACATGCTACTGCTACCCACAACTTGCACGAATTGTACAAGCAGTACACTGAGTGAAAGAAGGCAGCCTCAAAAGCGCACACACTGTGTGCTTTCACTTCTCTGTCCTTGAAAAGACAAACTAAAGGATAAAGAGCAGATAAGTGGTTGCCAAATGTTGGGGGGAAGGTGTGACTATAAAGGGAAAGCACCGGGCAGTTTTTTGGCATGATGAACTGTTCTGTATCCTAATTGCAGTGGTGGATACACAAGCCTGTACATGTATTATAATTCACTGAACTGTATACCAAAGCACAGTAAATTTTACTACATGTGAATTTTAAAAAATAAAATTAAAATATATCTGTATAGGAAAAAAATTGGAAGGTAATACATAAAAATTATAATATTATTTGTTTACAGTGATGGTATTATGAATAATTTTCTTTTTTTTCTTATTTTCCCAATTTTACATGAACAACTTTCTTATCACTAAAGTAATATAAACATATCAAAGAACTCTAAAATCATAGTATTGCATGAAGTTTGGGAAAGGAACAAATAGCCCTTCATACTGTAACAACATCTGAAGACACTGCGCATCTTGGGTCACCAGGGTCCATTCAAATTGTGCCCAGCAATCTATTTATGAGATTCATGAAGATGCAGTTTACTTTAGGAAGTAGAAGTGGAAGTAGTCATGGATTTTTTTGCTTGTTAAAAGCCTCTTTTATTTGGAAAATTTACTTTTGTAGAATTCTCCATTCACCTTTGATGCCAAATAAATGAGAATATATCATAAAGCAAATAATAATCCCATGTAAACATGCCTTACCTCATTTCTTCTTCAACACCCCCCTCTCCCCACACACACACCAGAAGGTAAGCACAAGCTTCTGTTTGCAAAGAGGAAACTGAGGTACAGAAACATTCTAGGTTCAACAGTGGGCAATAAAAATGCCATTTGTTTTAACTTTTCTCCCATAAGACAGATTGTACTTTTTTTGTTGCTTGTCAGTAATGATGATAAAGGTAATATTATCTTATTTTTTCTCCTGAGAATTTCCTGGACTTTATTAGAAATGAAATAAATGTTGTGCGTCTTGGGACAGAAAGTATTTGTTTTCTCACTGAAAATTCACAGGTGCTTCGGCTATAACGAGATTCTCCTGTTTGGTTTTTCAGGATTTTGTACTGCACGCTCATTCTGCCTCTGCATTACCTCGAGCCGTTCTTTTCGTACATCTTCCTCAACCTACAGCTCATCATCTTGCAGGTCCTTCACGTTTACTGGGGTTACTACATCCTGAAGATGCTCAAAAGATGTATATTCACGAAGGTAAGGGCTGTCCAGATATCATTGCTCTTAACAAGGGAACTTCATTGCCTGATTTGAGGTGAGGCTCGGACAGTGGAATGTTCAAGTTTATTCATAGTTTTAACCAGAGTTCTTTTCTAAAAATATGATCATTATTGATAAAAGTGTCTCTAAAATAGAGCTAGATTTTTCATAAATAGGTCTCTAAGGTGCTTTTAAGAAATTGCTTTTATTAGAAGATGTGTTATTTTGAAATTTTTTAATCCAAAAATTGCTGCTTTTTAAAGAATCCCCTAAGGAGTCAAAATTAGCTCTAGTTTGCAGCAAGCTTTATAACAATAGTTGAGCAATATTTCAGAGCCTTCTGTTTACCTTTACTGGGGATCCAATTTGCACATAATGCTCTCTCCTGAGCTTTCTGCTACTCTCTAAAATATTGTCCATCACTTGGCTATCCTTTGTTTCTGAAAACATCTTCCCTAAATAATAACAAATTAATAATACTTTTTAGGCAATATAGGTTTTCTGTTTGTTTTGCTTTGAATTCAGTTCTGTGTTTTAATTCCAGAACGTGGTGAGAGAAGGGCCACAGCAATGAGTAGGACACAGTCACTGACTTTAGGGAAACAGCCCACCATCTAGTGGGGGATATCTCACCTACTAGCAATGAGTTATAACACAGAGAATGTTCTGTGCTAGAGGTCCCAGAGACTTGCTGTGGAAGAAAAAATGAAAGAAAAGTTGATTCAAGAGACCAGGGAAAGTTTTATCGAGTGATGGATTTTTGACTTGAACCCTTAAGGCAAATAAAAAAATCTGATCACACTCCTTCTTTGTCTTGAAATCATACATCTAAGGGAGTTTTAATGAAGAGTCTTTCAAGTCAAAAGTTACAACTGGCCCACTTTTGAGTGTCACTATTCGTGTATAACATAGTATTGTATCATCAACAGATTAAGTGACTTGTATGTAACAATATGCTGGAAATTAGTTTCATAGGCTTATTTTTTTATCAACTCTTTGATTAATTCATTTTCTGATTTAGTAAATGTGTCTCAAAGATTGTTGAAGAGTTGACAGTGAAATGGACATTGCAATATTAATAATTGACCTCGGGGTTTTCCACCATCTCTTAGCTTCTAGTTCAAGACAGAGGTATGGGAAATTGGGCTACATCTGGATTAATCTATATAAAAGAAAAAAACCTTGAAAGTTTTTTTTAACGAATTCATTGATGCGAGCTTGTTTTCTCGAGAGCTGACTTTTCCCCTTAAAGTTGGAGTGCCAAGAAAAAAACTTCCATTGAATGGTTCTAGTTTATTAAAATTCTAAATGTTTTTCTATGGTCTCTGGAAAAGTTATCTTTTCACTAAGTAACTGATAATGTTGAAGTAATTGAGATAAGGTTAAGAATCTGAGCAGTTAGACAATTTGCACATCCAGTGGTTGGCATGAAGGAAGATCCCTGAACTGAGCCTGTAATTCCACTGGGCCCAGACTTCCAGCAGCTCCTGTCCCCACGCAGAAACTCTTCCCTTATTACCTAGTGAGAGACAATAATTACAGGCCTGGAAGGGATCCAGGCAAAGTGAAGCTTGGAGACCAGAAGGTACCCTTGTTTGGTTTCATTGTGATTTTCCTATTTCTAGTCTCTAATGGGTCACGCCAGTCCTAATTAGAAACCCAGTGGTTTAGGAAGCTGTGGACAGGAATCCCTGATTTCTCGTGCTGTACTTTGGAAAAGCTGTTTCCAATTGCAGTTTGACAGCAGTTGTGAAGGCCCCCACAGCCCTAATCCGCGCAGTTTGTATGACTTCAGCTGGCTCGCATGTGCACTCTGTTTTCCACCGCAGTGGCAAAACTGGCTGTGAAATCAGCTTATTCCTCCAAAGCCATAAAGCCTCCGTTTAAAGAATGCTATTTGAAGGCATGGTTGTACTGCAAAGGGGAGGAGAGGGCTAGAGGCAGAAATTGAAAATTCTTAGAGAAACAACTAACAAATCAGATTTCAACTTTATTTAATAAAAATTCAGCATTTAATGCAACCTCAATTGTTACTAAAGTGACTAATTCTTGGATACTTTATAAATGAAATTGCAGAAGTTCCATAGGTCTCTAATTTTTTTTTTTAAATCTTATAACAGAGACTGAGAATTTGTCACTTTTAGTTCCTTCTTTGGCAGGTTCTCCGTAAGTAATTTTGAACATACAAATGATAAGTAACTTGGAGAAACAAACCACCCTGTTTTGAGTGGAAAGTTACAAAATACTGTATTAATCATTTTTTGTCTCCATATTTTCATGGTAGATTGAAAAGAAATGATTATGCTTCTTAAAAATAGAATTTTTTGGTAATAGTCACATCTTATTTTCCCTAAACAATAGGTTATTGCATACATATGATGATTGAGAACCTGCCGCCATTTACTTTTACTCTTGAATACTTTAAAATAAGAGTATCGCTCTAATTTCAGAACACTAATGCATATGGGTCCCGCATAGCAGGCATCTTGCTGCTTGAGAACAAGGCTTGGTACTGAAACTTATCTGATTACTGTAAAATGGGTTGTTTTATAATGAGCCACCAGCCCACACATCACATCAGGAAATATGACAGGCTGACATATTCATCTTGTCATTCTCTTTGCAAATGTGGGAAGTGCTTTGAGAGGAAATCAGAAGGAACATAGTATGCTTTTGTTTAATATTACTTAAGAGAACTTGATCATCCTTAAGTTTTTATTTTCTCCTTTCTAAATATCATCTTGGGTCCTGGCCAACTCCAGCATGTCTCTGTGACATCTTACACTGGTGAATAGCCAAGGCGTGCAAGGGGGAGCTGGAGCTGCAGCCATTAAAGCCAGGATGGAGAAACGAGCCCCTTGGCACCCTGCCCCAGCCATCTGCAACTCAACAGGCAGTATCTCTTACGTTCATAGAATGACACTTTACATACGCTGAACTGTTCTAGTTAAAAAGGAATACGAGTAAACATGAGGAAACTAAGGCCTACACCAAATTCACACTAATTTCATGACAAAACTAAGACTAGAACTTGAGTCTCTGAAAACTTGTAATACTTCATCTTTTTTTAAACTATTCTTTATTTGAATTACGGACAGAAAATTATTAACCAGAAATAACTGGAAAATTAATTTAAAGTACTTATACGGAATTAAAAAAGTGAGTACATAAACAAATTGAGTAATCAAGATTTTAGATTAAAGTGCAGCACAAATCCTTTCACTTCTGAACTTTTTAAAAGCATAAGAAAATGTACTGTTAATTATTTTTTAATCCCAAATCATTTTCAAGTAAAGCAATTAGATAGCTAAGAGTGCAGGCTCTGTGTAGATTCAAACGCTCTCCCATTCACTGGCTGTATGATCCTGGGAATATTACTTCTGTTCATTGCCTTAGTTTCCTCACCTGTAAAATGGGGATGATGATATTCGTACCTGCCTTGAAGGATAAAGCCCTTAGAACAATGTCTGGCACATAGTAAGCCATGATAAGTGTTAGCTGCCATTATCATGATCAGTATTACCACTAAGCAGGTTCTTTCTACTAAATTACAGAGCGTCTGTAAATGGGAAGTTGCCTGGCAGTCGGCTCTCAGCAAGCCTCTTCCTTTTGCTTAGACAGGGCTACAGCTGGTATCAGACGTCAGTCCTTGACTTGCAACCAAAGGCTCCAGTGACAGTTTTCTAAAGCTGTCTTCTGCCAGTTGACTTTCATGACTCACATTCAGCTGATCTTTTTTGACACATTCTCTCAGATGTCAACATATCGGGGAAGAAATACAAAATCCATAACATCCAAGAAGTCTCCAAGTCTCTTTTGTTAGTAGGCAAGAGCAAATATAAAACTGCACTTTGCTGAGCAACACTTCATAAACACATCACAAAGACTGACGATTAAAATAAAGTATTATAAAAATGCTATCAGCTTATATTTTTTATATTTCTGAATATTTGTACAGATTAACTAGTTTGACATTTACTCAAGCAACAGCAGTGGAATTTATAAACTTGTAATGATAAAAATACTGTGTTAAGATGCTTGGCTTAAAGAATTCCAAACTTGAATATTCTTGCACACTATGCAGCTCAGCAATGAAATAGAATTCCCATAGCATTCTAGAACTGGAAGAGACCATTATTGTCTACCAAGCCACTGCGGCTCCTCTCCCCAGGGCCTTGCTGTTGCATTGCAGTTCACCACTCACACCCACATATATGAATTCAGACTGACTTTGAGTCTCATGTCACTCTGTGAAGCAGCTATTATTGTCCCTCTTTCACAGAGGAAGAGAACAAGGGTGAATGAAGAAGTAACATGAAAGCTTAATGTCACACAGCAGTGGAATTCGCACCCTTGAAGCCTGACATTTCAGAGCCCATGTTGCTAATACTGTGCTCCTCTGCTCCCCCACAAGTTTTGTAATTGTGAACATCTGTCCTAAAAACACAAGTAATACGTATTTTGTGTGTGAGTTTACGTGTGTTTCTCTGGGGCACGCATTTAGTGGGGCTTATGCTCAGTTCTCACAAATTTCGTAACGGTATCTTTGACGTGGCTCAGTTATCCTTGTTATCATTACTTTACAAGTAGTGAATTCTGGCTCTTCAGAGAGGGCTCTCTAGAAAACCTCATGAAGGGTATGCCTTTTAGGGGATCGTCTTGCTTAAAGCCATCATAAGCTGGATTTTTACAAACTGGAAAGGGTAGAGTTGTTTAAAGAAGTCAACGGTGAATAGCCAACCATCCACAGGGCTCTAAGATAATAAAAGCAAGAAAATGTACTGTGAGAGAGAGGGCAGGGCCCGCGGTTAAACTGGCTTCTGCCCAGGTCTCTTGCTCCCATAGAATTACTATCGCTTTGCCGTTGACCTCAAGGCCTCCGGATCAAACCCACAGATTTGACAAGGGCACTGAGATGGGTGCTCGGGAGAAGACCCAACCACACATACAGAAGTTGAGGTGGACGCAGCACAGAATAGAACGGAGGAAGTCATTTG